CACTGAGCCATCTCACCAGCCCCCCTGGACTTTCTTTGGTAGGGTTCTTATTACTGTTACTATTTCATTACAATTATTAGTTTATACAGATTTTTATATCTTCTTGGAGTTTTAGTAATTTATGTGTCTAGGAATTTCTCCATTACTACTTCTAGGTTCTCTAGTTTCTTGGAATACAAGTTTTAAAAAGTTTCTCATCCTTAGGATTTCAGCAATGTTTATTGTGAATTCACTTATTTCATTTTTAAATGCACTCATAAGGGCTTTTCTTTATTTCTTTTAGTAAGTTTTTTTTTTTTCTGTTGTTTTTGTTTTTGTTTTTTGCAGAACCGGGGATTGAACTCAGGCCCTTGCACTTGCCAGGGAAGCGCTTATTCCACTGAGCCATCTCCCCAGCCCCTTCTTTTAGTAAGTTTTATCAGCCAGGTTTATCCTAAAAAGTCTCTTGAGTAATTGACTATATATAGTTTTACTTTTTCTAGTTTTTGTTTTTATTGGTTTATATTTGCAGTACATAATGATTACATTCTTCATGGGGATTGGTGCATGCGCATAATAATTCTTATTTCTTTCTTCATTCATTTCCTTCCCCTCTGTCCTCCACCCACTTTTTCTGGTCCCCTTTCCATTTACAAAAGATTGATCCCTCTGTTTCCCTTTACCTGTCAGCTTGGCTACATAGTGAGTTCAAGGCCAGCCTGGACTACAGAGTAAGACCCTGTCTGTTATTTATTTATTGGATACAGGGTCTCACTACACAGTTCAGACTCATAGTGATCCTCCTATCTCAGTGTCCTCAGCACTGGGATTACAGGCGTGTCCCACCATGCCCACTTTTGGGATCCACCCAGCATGCAGTACTGGGGATCAACTTGGTTCTTCTGCGCTTGTGAGGCAGGCATTTAGACTGCTGAGCTGTCTCCCCAACTCAAGAGACCCTGTCTCAAGAAATGAAACAGAAAAACCTTGGAAACAACTTTGTCTTAAAGAGTTTTGCCCATTTTAACTTCCAATATTTTAAGTGTTTTCTATTTTAGTTTTTAGATCTGTAGTGCATTTTGATTTTAGTTTAGTATGTGGTGAGAGAGATGAGTGTACCTCCAATCTTTTGCCAGTTTCCCCAGTCTTATTTGCCAAAGAAACCATTTTCCTTCCAGAATAATTTTAGTCCCTTTGCCAAAGGTCAAATAGCTGAATGTGCATGGGGTTATTTCTGCATCCTCTATTTTGTTTGATTGAGCCACGTGTCTTTTTTTGTTCTAGTAATTTGCCCTTTTTTAAAAAAAATCACTATTAATATAACTTGAAGCCAGGTGTTGTGATATATCACTTTTGCTCTCATTGTCCAGGATTGCTTTTGCTACTCTGGGTCTCCTCTGGTTCCACAAGAGCTTTAGGGTTTTTTCCTCTAGTTTTGTGAGAAATGAAATTTCTATTTTCATTAGAACTTTTAAATCTATATATTCATTTTAATGGTATGGCTGTATTGACCATATTTGTTCTGTCTATCCAAGAAGAGGGATTTTATGATGCCTTATTTAATTGCCTTTTTCACAATACTATAATTTTTATTCTAGGGGTCTTCCACTTCCTTGGTTAGGTTAACTCCCCAATATTTACTTTTTCTTAATGCTGTTATGAATGGTTATGTCCTAATCTATTAATGAGTTCATTGTTGGTGTACAGGAACATGAACGCATTTAGTGTGCTGATTTTGTTTCCTGCTTCACTTTGAATTTTGTTATTAATTATGAATTTTTTTGGAGGGAATTTTTTGGATATTCAATATAATCTTGTTATTTGCAAATAATGATAATTTTACTTCTTCCTTTCCTATAATTGACCCATTTGTTTAATTGACCCATTTGTTTAATTGACCCATTTATTCTTTCATGATTGAAAAAAAAATTAAGAACAAGGGGCTGGTGAGGTAGCTCAGCCATCTAAAGCACCTGGGATCTTGCTTCCATCCCCGGCACCACATGCTGCACCAGCCCCACCCTCAGGGCAGGCTGAGCCAGCCCCCGCCAAAAAAAAAAAATTAGAAACAAGATGAGAAGTTCTCCATCACCCTTTCTGTTCAATACTGTTCTCTAAACATTAGCCAAAGCAATCATGAAGGAATAAATAAACAAATGGGTCAATTATAGGAAAAGAAAAAGTAAAATTATCATTATTTGTAGATGACAAGATTGTCTACATAGAATATCCAAAAAATTCTGTCCAAAAAGACTCTTATAATTAATAACAGAATTGCTCTGTTGGTCATTTCTTTTGTTGCACAAAAGCTTTTTAATAAGATGAGATCCCAGTTGTTGGTTTTTGAATTATTTACTTTATAGCTTGAGTTTTGTTCATGAACTCTCTACCTATGACTGTGTCTTCAAGATTTCCACCTACTTTCTCTTCAGTAGATTTAGTGTTTCTGTTTTAATATTTAGATGTTTGATTCATGTTGACTTTAGAGCATGATGATGATAGACATAGGTCTAGTTTTAATCTTTGGCATGTGGAAAGACAGTTTTTCTAGTACCACTTATTAAAGAAACTATGTTTCTTCCATCAGGCTATTGCCTCAGGCTGGGGAAGGTACACACATCTATAATCCCAGCAGTACTAAGACCCATAATCTCAGCCTTGGATCACCCATAATCCCAGTGGATCATGAGTTAATCACAAACTCTAGACGCCCCCACCCCATGACTGCATGAGGTTTTTGGGGGACAACTAGACACAGATCATAACAGGAGGCTAAGTACATAAAGGGTTTGAGCTTGTTGGGGATCATAGTCCCAAAGATGGGGACAGAATGAGGTCAGAGCTGCAGGACAATCAGCACAGGTGTGCATATAAAGCTGGGTCCTGGTGTTAGACTGCAGGTCCAGTCCTAAATTTCTTTATGATCATCAGTTCTATTTGCTAAGGGAAACATGGATTCCTGTTGTTCATAGAGGGCACCATGTTTATTGGGAAGATCTTCTTGGGTCAAGTGTATTTTCACCTAATTTAATTGTCTGTAATACTGCAGCGATCCAAGAACTACAAGGATAAATAACTGACCAATATCAGTGCTTGCTCCCTTCATCTTTCCAGAGTGGTATAAGTTATTACCCATGATGAATCCAGTGTCAGGTCAGTGGAGGCATGAGGTAACATTCAGGGACAGACTGTGGGAAAGATCAGATTTTATTCATCTGCCTACAAGGAGCTGACCTTAGAGTGATGTCAGCAGCTATCTGGAGGGGAAATTAAATATATATATAGCATTTTTGGATCGGGGTTAGAATGTCAGAGTCCATATGAAGTGTTTGAAGTCAAAGCTTGAAGTTATTTGAAGTCAAAGTTGAAGTGTTTGAAATCAAAATCACTGTAGGCCTGTAGATAAAAATTTGGTACCAGGGAGATTTTAGGACTGGTTCTGAATGACTTTATTGCCATTCTTGTTTACCAAGGCAACCTATTGTTTCCCAGTGTTTAGAGGGGAAGTCATGGGGTCTTTCAGATTTCTCTCAGGTCACTCTTAGAGTGGGCCTGAAATTCCCATCTTTTGTTGTTTTATGTAGAGGGGGTGGACTGTCTCAGGGCTGCTTCAGGCATAACTAATTGGGCAGCCAGGCTACCTAATTGGAAGAGAAATCTTGAAGTATGGAGCTATATCAAAGAGAAGTCAGAGCCAGTGTTTGTCTTTTGGTAATTGCTTGTACACTATCCTATAAAAAAAACTGAGAGATTAGTCTGGGAAGACATGGAAATCCAGACCTGGAGAGGGACTGGGGTGGTGATGTAGGTTGTTGTGGACATGGAAATGCAGAGCCAGCCATCTTTGGCTAGGGTAGGATGGAGTGGTTCATCAAGGAATGAGTTAACACTGAGGTTTTGTCATGACTGAATGAAGCTTCAGAAGAGCAGCCTTGCAGGCTGTTGAACAAAAGAAAAGTGTTAATTGGGCCAAAGGTGTAGGTAAGCCATTCAGGAGTTTTCTGAGATTTTGGTCAGTCTAATAGATGTGTGGGAGATTACTTGTGACTTCCATACAGAGGAGAGATCTGGCAAACTGTCAGAAGCACACACATAGCTTTGCTATGGAATAGTGAATCCATGATGTGCATAGGGGTGTGTGTGTGTGTGTGTGTGTGTGTGTATCTTGCAGACCACAGGCATTGCTATGGGTAACTGTGAGGTCCTTTTTGCTTTTTCTAAAGAAATCTGGAGTTTAAAACTTCAATTAAACTGAGTTTATTAGCCAAGTTATCCTCATAAGGGTGAGTGTAGATTTAAATTTAGTAAGATGGATCAGAAGTAGACTATTAGTGATACAGAGAAAAGAAATGCT